GAGAGGAAATGGCCTTAACTTGCATTGCGGAGGTTCAGATTAGTAACTAGAAAAAAAAAATCACTGAAAGAGTGGTCAGACGTATAATTTGCCCAGGGAGGTGGTGGAGTCACCACCTCTAGAAGTGTTCAAGAGGTGTCTGGATGTGACACTTGGTTTAAGGGTGTTTATGGTGGTGCTGGGTTGACGGACTAGATGATCTTGAAGGTCACTTTCAACCTTGATGATTCTGTGTGAATTTCCCTGCATTTTGCAATTTATAATGATTTGTGCTTGAAGTTTTCTGCTTAAATGCACAGAAATGCTTTGCAATTGAAGGTTTTTGACACTTTATGAAGAAATTAGAAAACAGGGCAATATATTACCCAAGTGTATTTTAGCTCATTTTCCTGTATCGTATCTCTGGTACCCTAGAACCCAGAAATTGCCAAAGTAAGGCTTGTTAGTTGAACCAGGTCATACAGGTTTAAGCACATATTTTTCCCCAGTTCAGGTGATCTCATTTTTCTTGCCCAGTGCTGTAAGCCTACAAACTTCATTAATTTGGAAATGATATGGAAATTAATGAGGTGAAATAACCAGGAGATGGGTTGCAAGAGACAAAAACATTTCATCTTCCAAAACCCATCCTGTCTTGTTGTAGGACAACAGTCTTCTGCAGGATGGTGTCACTCCCTGCTGATTTAGACTTTGCACTCCCAGGGAAGTAGGAAGACGTCCCCAGCTGAAATAGCAGTCAATGCCTTAAAAATCCTAGAAAAATCAGCAAGTGTTGAAAAGCTGTATCAATCTGTGGATGCAATACTTGAGCAATCCCACTTCTGTAACTGTGGAGCTTCCCAGTGGCATTCTGGGTTTTAATTTTCACTTACTTTGTGTGACCTTGAATAAAAGCTTTCTGTGGGAATGGTTTCTGAATAAGCCTTATGCTAAGTATGAAATATCAGAGGTGACAGAGGGGTCTGTAAGTGTCCAAGTTATTATGCCTTTGCTGGCTAATATTTGTTGGCTGAGCGGTGGTGACTGAGCACCAGCAAAGACAAGCCTGGAGTCTTAAAACCATCATGATGGTTGCTGTGTGGTGGCTTGTCCTGAAGCCCATATTTATAAATGTGGGACAACTAATGGTAAGTGAACATAGCAAGGGAAAAAAAAGGTGTGAGATCAGGGTTACATGGGGTAGTGATCTTCATTGTGCTGTTGCTTTTGTGAAAGGGTGTTGAGAAGCAATTTGGAGACCGCTGTGATAGCTTGGTGGTATTTTTGTGGAACTCCTCCAAGCTTGAGAGGATAGGTGGATGGAGAAGATAAGATCTAAAGGTACACATTTGAAAGATCGCTGGCTTTGAGAGGGGTGTGAATAATTTCCTGGCTTTTTTCTTCTGAGTCACAGGGCACACACTGGTAGCACACAAGAAATAGTAAGCAGTAACCTCAAGTGGTGTTCTCGGAAAGGATTTGTGGTTAAGGGGTTTTTTTGGGCTGGGATTTTTTGGTTTGCTCACTTTGACTGTTTAGCCAGCTTCTTAACCTTGTATTTACATGAACCAAATCACGTTGTTTGTTTTGAAAACTGGAGCACCCCTGGCAGGTGGGCTACTGTGCACAAGGGTTTTTCCCAGTGCAGGAACCCCAACTTCATTAGAGGGTACAGTTTGTCAAATATCAGTGGGACTTGGGCTTCTCAGTCACTGTTTTTGAAGAAGTTTTCCTGCAACACTTCCTATTTCTCCCTCAGTAAGATTACCTCTGAGACTAATAATAATTCCTTAGGCAACCCAATGTATACCTGAGGAGGATGGAGCTGAACTCTGCATGTATTACAGGCAACCAGCTCCTTGTTGGTAATAAACTGCACACATAAGGAGCCCAGGACAGACCTCGAGCAAGTGCAGGTCAATTCCTCAGCTCCTCTGGAACATGGAGCCTTTGGTCAGGCACTAAGCATTGCTGTGTGACACATGAAAAGATTCATTTACCATCACATTGACAGTGATGACTTTGTGCATACACCTCTCCTGTTTTTCAGTTGAAATGATCAGTGTTTAGCATTTTGCTGTCTTTTCTTGGGGAGGGATGTTCCACCCCTACCCAAAGCTCCACAAAAGTTAAGAAATTACCCAATTGTACATATGAATACTAGGTATTTGTGTCATTGAATAAGAAAAGTGGAGGTGGCAGGGCTCATGATATATTAGGTGCAAACACAAGGAGAAGCAGGTGTTCAGTGCAAATATCCTCTGAAATAATAAACAAATGTTTTGTATAAATTCTTGTTAAGTTCTTATAAATACTCATATAAGGCTGAAGAACACTTTGGTTCATGGCTGGTGTTGAAAAATACAGCATGGAATGACTGAGTCAGGCAGGCTGACACTTGGGAATGGGAACACTTGTTTTGTGTGGGTTTGGGTTTCAGAAGGAGGCCTGCCTGTCACGTGATTTTTTTTTATTTGATTTTTTTTTTTAATTTGGTTTGTGCATAGTCTTCTGGAAAGTCAAAGGAGTACTGTGAGACTGTGCGATGAGCAAGTGGAATGATGGGAAGCTGTTCATTCATCATGTGACAGGAATTTTAGCATAACTTTCCTTTTGTTGTTTGAGCATCCTTAACAAAACCAACACATGACAGTACAACCAAGTTTCTAGCAGCCTGGTCATGATTTGCCATTAGATCAGATAGCCATAAAACAGGAATCAACATGCTTGTTGTTTGAGTTGGCAGGGAAGTAATGGGGTGGTAAGGAGGAGGGGCACAGGAGGTTTGGTGGTGGCATAACTGTTTCACAGCCATGTGATATCTGTTGCTCCTGTTGCTCAGGAAGGATGCTGTGCCCCTGAATTCAAAATTTGGATAGAAGGAGATGAGAAAGTTCATCTTCAGGTAGTTTTGCAGAAAGGAAAGCAACTAAAGGACAGGCTGTAAACAATGTCAGGCTCTTGCTTCTGTGTGTGTGGGGCTGCAGAAATCCCTGTTGCTTAGTCCTGTGGCATTTCTTGTTGTTTTCATTCTTTTTGCAATTTCCCTTTCTTAATAAATAAAACACCCTTTTGGCTTTGCTTTTAGATTGCCCTGCATTTCAGGGAATCTTACCTCTTGCTCCATCATTCAGCAACTGTTTCCACAGAGCTTAGCACTTCTGCTCTGAATACTGCATGGTGGTGTTTTCCTGCCTTTCCTGGGGTGAAAGACTACGAAAGGACTCTTGACCTAAGTGCAGACAAATGTTTCCTCACTTCCTAATAGCCTTGCAGTTTGGCTGAGCTCTCAAAAATTCAGAAAGGTTGAGGGGGAGCCTCAAACTTGTACCCAGGACATCCATGTCCCATATTATGTCGGTTGCAGGCTGAGTTGTCCGTAAGGCTGTGGTAGAAGAGACTAGGGATTAGGTCTTTGATGCTTACAAGTGCTCTTTTGCCTGGGTTGTGTGCCCAAACTCTTCTTGCTGCTGCACTGAGACCATCACAGGCTGGAATGGGCTCTCCACTTGGAGTTTGCTTTTGCTGCTCTTCTCCTTGCTGTAAAGCTGGAGGGGTGGTTTCTAGTGTTGTTTCTGCTCAGCTGGCCTGCCTCATCTTTGTAGAGAGTGTTTTTTGTAGTCTCTCACTGGGAGAACAAGCTTTAATGGTGTCTTCTGACTACTTTTTAAGGGTCTGCTTGGGCCCATGACTGTGGCACAAGGAGCTGCTGCTCCTGGAGCTACTTGTGGCACCAGCAACATGTGAGCTGAGGGAGGGGTGAATGATTTGGGATTCAAGCATTGTATCGGATTGTTGTGGTATAGCTGCTTACTTTGAGTTAGCTTGTGGAATTGCACAAAGAGCTAAGGAATTAAGAAAATGGGGGAAGAGAAAATGACTTTCAAGTGCTTTAGATGAAAGGTTCCTTCTGCCTGCCGCCCCACCATAGTTCCAAAACCAGACCCAGAAACCTCCCATGCTTACAGGTCTCCCCGGCACAAGGCACTGTGACCTGTGGATCTCCAGCACCACACTGGGAACCTGCCGGTGCTTGGGACGCTTACCTCTGCATGCTTGTTTTTGCCTTGTCATGTGTAGCTTTTCAAGTTGTATTTAATCCTTGATACAATTGCTGCAGTAATGTGTTCTTATGTGACAAAAGTGGCTGCTGCAGTCGGCTGGCATCAGCTGGCTACTGGAGCCCCAGGAAATCAGTTTTCCTCTCAAGCACCTGCAGACCTCAGTCTGAGGCTTTTATTTCACTCCTTTAAGGAGCATTTTGTGGTGCCTCTGGAGGGCCAATTTGCACACCAGCAGGAAGGGAAATGACTATTCTGAAGTAAAAGTACGAAGTTGAAAGACTAAAAATCATCCTCGGAGCAAATTCTGGTGTGATGGTCAGTATTACTAGCAGAGTAGTTTTAGACTGCAGTTGAGTGGCAACTGCTGATACGTTATGGATATGTGCACATATATAAAGTAGATTTCAGGGTATGTACTAAGTGTTTTGAACTTTGACTACACTGAGTTTGCATTCTCTGAAGCAAAGTACTCTTTTGTGAGAAGTAATGAAGTTTGTACAGCAATACGATGAAAGGAAAAGTCTTATTAATAAAAAAGACCTAATTGACATCTACTATTTTTTTGTGGGATGGTGTCAAAGATGCTAACTAAAGCATCTTTTGACTAAGATATAGGTTTGGTATTTAAATTGTTATGTGCAAAATAACCAGCTTATGTTATTCAAACTTTTTTGTGTGTGTGTGACAAAATAAACTAGTTTTTGAAAAACTGGAAATGAAAATTTTACCAGCATGTTTAGATTTTTTTTCTCTAATAGTTTGGTATATTTTTGGTGCTGTTTTTATGTAGATTTTTTGGTATTTTTAGGTAATTCTTTTGCAGATTGAACAGTTTAGACTTTTTTAAATTGATTTCTCTCCCCCCGCCCCCATGTTAATTAAACCAGTCCTTTTTTTCCGTTTGAACTTCTGGTATTTTTTAAGTTTTAATTTCTGTTATTTATTTTTGTTTTCCAGGTCAGATGTACAATTGACTGTAAGTATAATTCTGTGGCTTGCTTTTTATTTTTTTATATAACTCATTATCTGAATTTCTTTTAAGAAAGATCAGACATTATCAGCAAATTATTAAAAAAAAACCAACCAAACTTCCTGAAAAAAGTTTTTAGAAATGGTAGTTAAAAATGTAGACTCAATTATTTTAGTGGCTAATTCCTGCAATGCATTTAAGGATGTTTAAAGATATAGATATATAAATACTTTTCAGTTTGCTTTTCAGTTTGTAAAGAGTTCTGGTAAAATCAAGTACAGGTATAGAAGAAAGATGGGAAAATAAACTTGAAGGCAACACAAAACAAACAAACCCCAAAACAAACAGCCACCCAAAGTGATGCTTTTAATAATTTTCTGAAGTGAGTCTAGAACTGCTGTACTGGCCAAGATGACAAGTTCTCACATGGCAGAAATTTCTGAAAGTACATGCAGATAAGTTCTACGTTAATATTGAACATCAGACTTATATGAGTTAGCTTTAAATTTTAGGGTCTGAATCAACTCTCTTCACACTTTGGACTGTGCCACATCAATATAAAGTTTCTTGCTGTAGATATACGACGTCTGTTCCTTACTTGTGGGAACACACTGCAGGACTACGAGAACTTTTTTCCTCATGTGCTGAGGAGAAGAGGGAAAATTGCTATGCCAGGTTAAACAAGCTTCTGATAATACATGAAAACACACGCACACATGGAATGTGGCTGTAAGTTTCTTTGACTCCGTTCAAGCAAAACTGCACTGAAAAGAGCAAATCATGATAGCTTTCATCTGAACTGTGTGTAGCATCAGTGAATGATTGAAATAATGTTGTGGTCCCTTAATATAAATCAAATAATCTCGCAGAAGTTGAGAGGGAAAACCAGGAAATGCACAGTGAAAATTTGTAGAACAAATTGAGAGAATGGAAATGACTGCACATCTGTGCATGATATCTATAAAAACAATATCTATCTAGTTCTGCAAATGGGAAGCCCAGAAGTTTTGCAAAGACATTTATTGTTTGGTGTTCTTCTTTCAGGCACTGAGGATTGCAGCTCAAAAAATGTAACTGCAGAACAAGGAACCAGTAGTAATGATAATTTATCAGTAAACTCTGCAAGTGGGAGCAAAACATACGGAGGTGGAAGATCGATCAGGGCTGTGTCACCATCCGATGGGACAATAAGTGATGGAAGCAACGTAACACGTACGTGGTTTGAAATGTGGCTGGGATGTGAATCTTCAGGGTGTTTTGCATTTTTTATATTGTATTAGCATTTTAACACTCTGAACTGTAGTCCAGAGTGCAAAGAGCATTGCAGGGGCATGGATCCAACTGCTTTACTGGAATAGAGAACGAGCCAAAGAAATCTGTCTGCACAGCTGACTAGGAGTGCAATTTCATGCTGTGATTGGCTCATGGCCTTGAAATAGTTCTGTTCATGTTAGACTTAGGCCCCCTTCCCTGCTTACTATGGCTTTTTAGGTTACAACTTCAACAGTTGAACCTCACTGTGACGTGTAGATTTGAAATGCATGAGTAAGAGGGTTACAGCATGCTGTGTCATGTATCTAGAGAAGAGGTGTATGAATCTTGCTGCTAGAAAGGCTTCTCTCTTTGGGGTAGCCAGTTTAGGAAAAAATGACAGCAGGTTGTGTGTTCCAGTCTTCCTCAGCACCATGCATGAAGTTCACAGCTGAGGCAGCACAGTAATCACCACGGCACCTAGATAGTTCTACTCCAGGAGATGAAGAGAAACTTGAGGAATTAGAGTAGTTTGGAGAGCTAGCCAAGTGTGCCTTGCAGTATGGAAGGATGGCTTGATTATTTTCCCAGGCTGATTAGTGTTTTACAGAGACCAGGAGAAGAGTGCTTTATGTGTTTGTCAACAAATATTCTTGCGGGTTAAGATATTTTTATTTTTTTTTTGTTTCACAGTGTCCAGCCCAGTTTATGATCTCAAGGCAAAATATGTTGGTATGACTTCTGTCATCTTAACGTGGTTAGTGAACGGCACTGCTTCGAACTCCTGCAGGATAGAGTATGGAAAAGATACCTCTACGAAGAGCCTGATGACCAATGAGACCGAAATAGAAATTACCGACTTGATCCCTGGGACAATGTACAATTTCATCGTATTTGCAGCAGTAGATGGTACTGAGACAGAAGGAGTGCCCTTAAGGGTGTATACAAGTAAGTCGCAGTTACTTGAAGCCCTGTTTCCAGTGGTCTGTACTTTTCTGTGCAGGTCAGGGCTCTACCTACCTATGTGAGGATTGAAATTCAATACTGTTGTGTGTATATTTTAGTCCTGGAGGACTAAAATATATCTCGGCAATATACAAAGAATGGGATGTTAGGGTACAGCAGAAACATGGCCCTGATGGTTTCGTTTGTTTGTTTTAAATTATCATACTTCCCCTCCATCCTGGTCTCTTCCCTGCTCACCTCTCTGGATTCCCAGGGGAAGCTCTGGGAGTTCTGACACAATGATGTCCTACACTTCCGCTGTGAGGTGTCAAAGGGAAATGAATGCCACTCAGAATGACTTGTCTTCAGTTCTCTCTTAGCTGCCCACTGGTGCAGCAGGCTCCCGCAGTGCCTGGTGATGTTGGGCTGCTCCTGCCCTCTGAACCATGAGTGGTGGGAAGGGAATGAAGTACTGATGTGCCTGCGTTTCTTCTGTCCGTGCCTATGAGCAGCTGTTCTTGCAGGCTGACAG